TCTCTCTCTCTCTCTCTCTCTCTCTCTCTCTCTCTCTCTCTCTCTCTCTCTCTCTTTTCTTGGCAAAGCCTGTCTGTGTTAGCCAGGTTTGCTTCTGCTGCTCCAGTCTTCCAAGTAGCTGGCTAGCTTACCAATTTTTATTTATTTATTTATTTAGGGTTTTTTTTGGAGACAGGGTCTCACTATATAGTTGAGACTAACCTGGAACTCGAGTGTTGGGATTACAGACAACCAATTTTTTAAAAATATATTTTAAAAAGTTTTTGAGTGGGGGATGTAGTTCAGTAGTAGAATGCTTATCTACCTTGTGCAGAGGCTTGGGTTCAATCTTCAGAAGCTCAAAAATACATTTATAATAAATAATATTTTATGTTGGGCATAGTGGTGCATGCCTATAATCCCAGCACTCAAGAGACTGAGGCAGGAAGATCACCATGAATTTGAGGCCAGCCTTTTTAAGACAGTCACCCTGTCTTAAAAAACAAACTGAACAGACATGACAACAACAAAAAAGAAGTGCACATGTATGTTCACTTAAAGACACCTAGGAATGTTCACAGTAGCAATAAAGCCAAACTGGTTCCAAATGTCCATCGACCTCAGAATGTTTAAATAGATTGAGATAAATTCTCACAATGGAATATATAAGAAATTTTAAAAAACTGCAGTCACACATAATAATACAGATGACTCATAAATTTCATAGTAAATTAAAGAAGCTAGATACAAAAGAGCACATACTTTATAGTTTCACTGATATAGGCAGTAACCATGCCAAACTAGTCTGTGCGGTTAGAGTAGAAGACAGGAAAATGGTTAACCTTGTTGGAGGAGGGAAGTGCCTGGTGAGAGGCATGTCTAGAACTCTTGTACTGATTCATGATCTGGGTTCTGGGCACATAGAAGCATTCACTTTATAAGAATCCCCAGGCTAGGGTGGGAGTGTGGCTCATAGTAACATGGGAGCTTAGCATGCCCGAAGACCTGGGTTCAGTCGTCAAGACAAAAAAAAAAAAAGTCATAAAATGTCAAAAATGTGGAAGTGTTTTTCAGTAGTTTCCTACTTTGGATTACTCATTATCTTTCAAGGGTGACATGGTCTGGTCTCTGCCCATCTCAGACCTCATCTCATTAAACCTCAGCTACGCTGGCTGCCAATCTGATCCTCAGATGCATGGAACTCCTGTTTGCGACCTTCTTACCTGTTTTGGTCATTTTGTGTGTGAGCTGAGACATCCTGTAATGAAGGGCTTCCCTGGAAATGCTGTGCGCTGTGGCTCTGGCTGGAAGTATAGCTCAGTGGTGGCACACATGCTTAATATGCACAAAGCCCTGGGTTCAATCCTCAGGACACACACACACACACACACACACACAGAGGCCGCCCCCACTTTTCACTAGGAGCTCTGTTTCTTTTGGGGGGGTTGAGACTGTGCGCTGTGGCTCTGGCTGGAAGTATAGCTCAGTGGTGGCACACATGCTTAATATGCACAAAGCCCTGGGTTCAATCCTCAGGACACACACACACACACACACACACAGAGGCCGCCCCCACTTTTCACTAGGAGCTCTTTGTTTCTTTTGAGGGGGGTTGAGATGGGGTCTCACTATGAAGTTGAGACTG